AATAGAATAGAATAGAATAGAATAGAATAGAAAATATATAACATAACATAATATAGAATATAATATAAAATATAATCTATAATCTATAATATACTATACATATACTATATATATATATATATTCCTTACAGCATTATTCACAGTAGCAAGAAAATGGAAACAGCTCAAATGCCTGACAACAATTGAATCGACAGAGAATTTGTGGTACATTTTCCCAATAGAATATTATGCAGCACTAAAGGAGCAACAGATTAGTAAAACACGACAGAACATAAGTGATTCTGGATGACATTGCGTTGAGTGAAATAACTCAGTTGCAAAAGGACAAATATTGCAAAAGACCAATGCTATTAAAATAGGAGGCTAACTGGAGGATGGGGGGATCAGTAGAGCTGAAATTGAATGCAAACTCGATGTAAAGGATCAGGACAAGGGAGAATCATCCTGAGGAAAGCTGATGAAAGGGCAACATGGCTATTTCAGTTAGCAAATAGGAACAAGCAATGTATAACTGTTCCAATGGGGGAGGAGAAGAGGAAAGGGAGAAGGGAAAACATTGCCAGGGCTGCATAGATGAGTGCCTTACGCCTCAACAGTACAGACGATGCAGCATTACTGGAATAGCACTTGAACGTGGAGCCGTCAGAAACCCCAGCTGAGTTCAGAAGGGTTAACATGACTGACATTCGGATGTTGGCTGAAAGGACACTAGAAAGATGTTTCCCTTTGTTTTAAGGACTATGCAAAGACATTTGACTATGTGCATCATAACAAATGATAGATAATACTGAGGAGAACAGGAATCCCAGAATGCTTCATTGTGCTCCTGAGAAACCTAGACCCAGACAGAAAAGCTGTGTCCAAAACAGAACAAGGGAACCCTGCGTGGTTTAAAACCAGGAACAAATGTGTGTCGGGATTGCAGCAATGAATAGAAATCCAAAGTCTCTGTAAACATTCATTAAAATAAAAAAAAAAATATATTGGGATTGTATCCATTTCCCTTACCTATTAGAGAGAGATCAGTTGGCCTCGTGGACAGAAAGTGAGGCTACCAAGCCAAAGGTGGGTGACTCTAATCTACAGCCCTCAGGCCTGTCTTTATTATTTTTGGTGAAACATTCTTCTAGGTCGTATAGCCCCGGTGTGTCTACTTGCTGTACAGAGGTAACTCGTGGTTTCTGTGAAGCCGAACACTGTGACACTGATGAGTCAAATGCGAGAATGGTTACTCATGGTGGACAGTGTTTGGTGGAGCTCCCCAGTTAAAACAAGCTTGGAAGCAGGAGTGGCATCCACTTCTGAAATAGCTTGCCTCTGGAAACCCTGTGAACCTGGAGAAAGGACCGAAGTTATACAAGTGTCCAGGTCTTTCATTCATAGGGTGGCTATGAGTCATCTACGACTCGACGGCACTTAACAACAACAATATTAAACATGTTATGTATTGTTGAGTTGGAACCAACTCTTAGCTGATTCTCCAGTGTGCTTTTCGAGGCTCATTGCATGGAAGGAGATTGTCCATCTCCTGGATCCTCCATTGACATAGAGCTGTTGTTTTCCCCTATATTGGTTGATGCCACAGAGTCGACTCTGATTCATAACAATCCTATGAACAACAGATCTGAACCTTGCCCTACCCATGATCTCTGATATGCTCAAGGCCAATGTTAGTCACTGTGTCAATCTGTCCCTAGAGGATTGTTCTTTCTTTCTCTGTCCCTCTGTCTTTCCCAGTATGATATCTTTTTCTAAGGACTGGGCCCCCCCTCCTGACAATATACCCAATGTATGTGACACGAAGCTTCACCATCCTTGCCTCTAAGAAGTGTTTGGTTTGCTCTTTCTCCGAAACAGACTTGTTTGTTCTTTTGACAGTCCATGGGGTAGTCAGTACTCCTCCCCAACATCATAATTCAAGACATCGATGATTCTGTCATCATTCATTGTCCAACTTTGCCTACTTCATTTTACTGTGATCCACATTGAAAAGACTATGGATTGGATCACCCACATCTTAGTCTTTAACATGACTGCTCTTTAAAACTTTGGAGTTCTTGACAGCAGATTTTCCCAAGGCAATATATCTTTTGATTTCTTGAATGCTTTTACCATGGATGTTGATTGTGGAGCCAAGTAAAATGAAGTCATTGTCAACTTGAATATTTTCTGCTTCTATTATGATATTGAGGTTATTAGTAATTACAGCTTGCTCGGATCCACAATCAACACTCTTAACACCAGCAGTCAGGAAATTTAAAGACCAATTGCCTTGGGAATATCTGCTGTCTGGACCTCTCCAGAATGATAAAGAGCAACAATATCGGTCTAGATACAAAGATGTACTGCCAAGAAAACAAATAGGTCTATCTTGGAGAGGGTGAAACCAAGTCTCTCCTTGGAAGCTAGGATTTTGAAACTCTGCCTCACTTACTTCAGGCACATGGCCAGGAGAGATCAGTCCTTGGGGAAGGACATCATACTCAGAAGGGAGGATGGACAGTGTAGGAGAGGGAGACCCTGGATGAGATGGATTGATACAGTATCTGGGGCAATGGGGGCTGGTGTGTTGGAGACTGGCTCAGGACAGGAAGGGTCAAGAGCTGCTGTCCATAGGGTCACTATGCATCACAGATGACTCAACCAATAACATTGTATGACAGGTTTGGAAGCAGGAGTGGCATCCACTTCCTAAACAACACGCCTCCAGAAACTCCATGAACTTTGAAAAATGTTGATAACTGTAGAGGGGCTTCAGGCCTTTTGTACATAGGGTTGCTTGACTTGAAAGCAATCAACAACAACAACATTATGATGTTGCCTATTGGCCTAGTGGGGAGGACTTTTGTCTTCTTGAGGTTGAGATACAATCCATATTGAAAGCTATAGTTTTTGATCTGCAGCAAATGCTTTAAGTTCTCTTCACTTTCTGCAAGCGAGCTTATACCATCTGCATAATGCAGGTTGCTGATGAGTCTTCATTCAAACTTGATGCCACATTCTTCTTCATAGAGTCCAGCCTCTTGAATGAGTTGCTCAGCATACAGATTGAGGAGGTATGGAGAAAGGATGCAGCCCTGATACGTACCTTTGCTGATTTTTAAACCATGTAGTATTTCTTTGTTTTGTTCAGACAACGACTTCTTGGTCTATGCATAGGTTTCTCATGAGCACAATTAAGCATTCTGAGATTCTAATTATTCTCAATGCTTTTTGTGATTCACCTCTAACTTTTTATTTACTATAACTTTGTATAGTCAATGAAACACAAGCAAACATCTTTCTGGTAACCTCAGAACTCTTTCTGGTAGTATCAGATCCATTTGATATCAGCAATGATATCTCTTATGTCACAGCCTCTAATGAATCCAGTTTGACTATGATTGTATATAATATTTTCAAACCCCTTTTATTACTATCTCAAGTTGATATTTAACAGCTTTACATGAAAAAAGTTTCCAATAAATTATCATTTATCTCCATAATGTGATACTTTTCTCTGGGAGAATAAGAATGCTCCGTAAGACCTTCTGTATCCTCCATCATCATACAACGAATTTCTTCTGTAGGCACAGAAATTTTTCTTTCTGGGACCATGGGCTTCTCAGGGGCCCTGGTAAGGAAATGATGAAGCACTCAGCTGCTAACCAAAAGTGTGGTGGTTCGAACCTTCCAGCGGCTTTGAGGCAGAAAGATGTAGCAGTCAGCGCCTGTGAGATGATGGCTTAGAATCTCTATGGGGCTGGTCTATATTGTCCTGTAAGTGGAATGGGAATCAGTGCAGTCAATTCCAAGAAGTGGATTTTTAAAAACCGAGCTTTTCAATGACATAGAACTATTAATTTTTAAAAATATTACTGGTTCCAATTTAAAAAGCAAAACAAAACAGCCCAAACCCTGGAAAGAAGACATTATTGTTGCTGTTAGGTGCATTGAGTTAGAAGCACCGCATAGCTGACCCTCCAGCAGGCTGTCAGAGGGAGTGAACCACAATGGAGGAGACTGCCCATGCTCCCCCAGAGAGCAGCTGGTGAATTCAGACCATGCACCTGTGCGTTAGTGAAACTCCTTACCAGTAAGCTACCAAAGCTTCCACCAGGGTCATATTAAACATCTAATCACATGTTTACACAATATTATAACATCTTTCTAAATGGCTCAATTTATTGTTAAAGTGTTATACTAAACATGAGAAGAGCTGCATCAGGCTTAGAAAATAGGACTTGTTTTGAGCAAAGAGCGTGAGCAAAGGGCGTGGGAAAGGATGAGAAATGACAGAGGAGCGTGAACCCCTAAGAAGTCAAACCTTCACAGGGGAGAACATCTGGAGGATCCGCGGCTGGGAGAGTGAGTGTTTGCAAGAAGAGAGAGAGCGAGCTTGCCGACAAACAGAAAGTGAGATTCAGCAGGGGCTTTTCTGGTTTGGTCTTTGTTGTGGTGTGTGTGTGTGTGTGTGTGTGTGTGTATGTTGTGTACGTGTATATGTACATTCATGTGTGTATGTGTGCACGTGTGTATGTATTCGGGTGCATTGTATGTGTATGCATGTATACATGCACGTGCGCCCATGTGTGTGGTCACAAGCATAGGCGTTTTCATGTGTGTGCATGTGTACGCACACGTGTGTATATGTGCTGGAGTGTGTGCACATGTATGTACATGTATGTGTACGTTCATGTCTGTGCACCTGTGTATGTGTGTGCACGTGTGTGTATGTGTTTGGGTACATGTGTATGTGTACACACGGGTGCATATGTGTGTTGTGTGTGTGAGTGTGTGTGCATGTGTATGCACGAGTGCATGTGTGTGCCTGCCTGCACAGCTATGTGTGTTGTCATGTGTATGCACATGTGTGTATGTATGTGCACGTGTGTGTGAACACAAGCATATGTGTTTTCATGTGTGTGTGGATGTGTATACACGAGTGCATGTGTGTGCCTGCACATGCATGTGTATTGGTGTATGTATGCACGTATGCATGTGCACGTGTATATGTGCATTCATGTGTGTGCACATGTGTGTATGTGTTTGGGCGCATGTGTATGTGTACACATGCATGCGTGTGTGTGCATGTGTGCATGTGTGTGCACATGTGTGTATGTGTTTGGGTTCATGTGTATGTGTACGTATGTGTGTGCACATGCGTGTGGACACAAGCATATGTGTTTTTGTGTGTGTGCAGGCGTGTACACACACACTAGTGCATGTGTGTTGACATGTGTATGCATTTATGCATGTGCACGTATGTGCATGTGTGCATTCATGTTCATGTGTGTGTGAACCTGTATATGTGTGTGCATGTGTGTATGTGTTTGGGTGCATGTGTATGTGTATGCACGTATGCACACACGTGCGTGTGTGTATGTGTGCGCACATGTGTGTGGACACAAGCACACGTGTTTTCATGTGCGTGCAGGTGTGTATGTGCACACACTAGTGCATGTATGTTGGCACGTGTATGCATGTACGCACGTGCACAGGTGCATGTGTATATGTGCATTCATGTGTGTGCACGTGTATGTATGTGTTTGCGTGCATGTGTATGTACACATGCATGTGTGTGCACGTGTGTGGGCACAAGCATGTGTGTTTTCATGTGCGCGCACATGTGTGCACAAGTGAGTGTGTCTATATGTGCACATGTTTGTGTATGCATGTATGCGTGTTCACATGTGTTTATCTGTGTACACATGTGTGTGCACGTGTGCGTGTATGTGTGCGTGCACACTTAGAGAAGATTTCTTCCCAAGGATCTTTGTAGTTCCTCTCATGATTTGGTGCTAATTAATTTTTATCTGTTTTAAATTTAACTATTGCAAATATTCAGATCTCAAAAAGATTATCTCTCCTATCCAATGAACATATCATAGACAAAACCAAATTGAACTAACTAAACATCATTATTAGACTCTTAACTTCAGACATGTTTATAATTTACTGTTTGAGTGTGTGCATGTGTGAGAGAGATGAAAGGAGAGAAAGATGGAAAGAAGAGTACATCAATCACATTGATGATCTTTAAATCAATCATATTGACGATTTTAAATAAATCATATTGGGGATCTTTTTGGGAGTTTTCAATGGGATGGCCTATTCTTGTTCTGGTTGCAAACCACTTTGCAGGTTGTTTCTTAAACTCTATGTTGGCATTTTACAACAGTGGCTCTATGCATTGAAAACCAAAAAACTCAGGAAATATTATGTATCTGATTTTCAGCCACACGTTGAGTATTTTCTTTAAGAAAGGAGACTCTACAATTCCCATAACTTGCCAGGCAAAGTTATTCAAGGTCGGGAAAAGGATCTGAAATTTTACCAACGATACTAGCAATGAATGGGGGGAAAAATTAATCGCAGTGTTAACTTCCAGCTTATTCTCACCGGAAATTCCAATAGTCACAACAATGCCATGAAGAAGCCAATATTACTGAGTTTGTGCAATTTACAGATCAGAAAAGAAAAAAAAAATGAGCAAAGTGGAAATAATAAAAATCTCTGATAAACACTGGAAGGAAACAGATTCTTACATAAATGATCTCTTAACAAAATTACTTAAATAAAAGGTATTTTATCCTTTTTAAATTGAGATTTTGCTTTATAATGACTTTAGACTTTGATGGGCTCACGTGTGGCAGAGATGGTGGGGACACACAGGATGGGACAGGCTTCAGATCTGTTCTTCATTGGGTTGCTGTGAGTTGTACTCGACAGCACTTAACAACAGCCACCACCTCATTCTCCGAAGGCTTGAAGAAAATTTCATACAGAGACTCAGGGCTTTGCTTAAAGCAGAAGAATAATGCATGCACCCGCATCCTTTCCTTCAGTCCCCCCAACCGTTCCATAAAGTCTTTCTCCAGAGCATTGTTGTGAGGATTTTTTGTTGTTAAGTACCGTCGAGTCGTAGGCGACCCATAGCGACCCTATGAACGAAAGTCCTCAACACTTGTATAATTTTCATCCTTTCTCTAGGTTCATAGGGTTTCTGGAGGCAAGCTGTTTCAGAAGTGGACGCCACTCCTGCTTCCAAGCTTGTTTTAATCAGGGAGCTCCACCAAACACTGTCCACCATGGGTAACCATCATCATATTTGACACATCAGTGTCACAGTGTTCAGCTTCACCGCAACCACGAGTTACCTCTGTACGGCAAGTGGACACACCAGGGCTATATGACCTAGAAGAATGTTTGACCAAAAACAATTAAAAACAGGCCTGAGGGCCGCGGATTGGAGTCACGCACCTTTGGCTGGGTAGCTGTGAGGACTGAGGGAAGGAAAGTAAAGATGTGTGGTCTTACAGCATTTACTGCTCCAGTAAGGTTTATAGGGCGAGAACTGGAATATCTCAAAGACATATTTATAAGTCAGGCCCAGTAGCAAACTGTGCAACTGTTCACAGATGCTGGAAGAGAAAGAAAAACAATTACTTCAGGAAAATAATGTCAGCTGGTGATTTGGGAGTGGTTAGCCGCATGCCCATGCTTTCTCCAATTTACAAATAGGTGGTGATCTTGTGAGAATGGAGGAGCAGAGGAAGAGACTGGTGCTGTTTCCTTGTTACTCCTTGCTTTCTCAATCTTACATGGAAGATTCTCTTCTTAAGGCAGAGCCCTCTCTCCTTTGCAGTATAAATCCTCATCTATCACTTTAAACAAAGATGGGAAATCAAGTGAAAAAATGAGTTTGGAAAGAAGAGGCAATTGGTAGCTTTGAACCTTTGAGGAATTCTTGATCAACCAACCCAAATACAGCAAAAAAGAGTAAAAATAATCTGGAAAGAAGAACTAAGTCCAAAATATAAATAGGAGAGGACAGAAAGAGGGGAGATAGGAGTGGGCGGAGGCTCCATGCTCTCAGGGGCTGTGTACAGGGGAAGGGCCATAAGACAAGGGTGTGTTGAATGGGTAGCTCTAGATAACATCCTTCACTCATTCAAGGATGTTCGTGCAGCTCACCTGTGGATGTTGTTGTTGTTATGTGCCGTCGAGTCGTTTGCGACTCATAGCGACCCCATGTACAACAGCCCTAAACCGTGTTCTGTCCTGTGCCAATCGCACTGTCTCCGACACGCCCATCCCAATTACCCCAGTCACTGAATCAATCCACCTCATAGAGGGTCTTCCCCTCCTGCGCCATCCCTCCACTCTACCCAGCATGATGTCCCTCTCCAAAGACCTGTCTCTCCTTGCAACATGTCCAAAGTATGTCAGACGAAGCCCCA